CTGTATCACTGTGTCAAGTTGGGTGCTGATTGATCACGAAGTGTAGAAATGTAAAAGGAACAGATACACACACACATGTTGACATTATTTTTACAGAAGATGGGGCGGGGGTCCAACCCCTTCATGTCATCCTATATCACTGTGTCAAGTTTGGTACTGATTGATCAAGAAATGTGGAAATGTATAACAGATATGAAATGATAGATATACGACTTTGCTTTATATAGTAGATTGCCCTTTGAACTGTGTATAACTAATAGTCCCACCACATAAGTTGTAAATCACTCAGTGAAGGTGTAGCTTATATTACCATATCAAATTATGTACTGCACAAGATGCTCATGAGCATATCTCTTAAATATTTTTTTTATTTTCCATTATCTTACCTAATCTAATCTTATTTAACCTAATAAGTTTCTAATTTTTACATCTTATAGTTATTTTTATAACAATAAATAAAGAAGCAGGAAAAACAAGAAATATGGTACTTATCTGGGTCTTTTTTTATGTCAACTGTCAATGAAACTTAAACCTACTTTTATTTTTTTTATACTAATGGTACTACTACACTAAATAATTTTTATTGAATTAAATAATGACCTAGGAACACAGAATAATAACATGCACAAAGCAAATAATGTTCTATAACTGTCATAATTTTCCTGGCTTTCTAATTAAGCAATAGAAGCCTTTCAAAAATCAAACTTGTTCATATGATTTCCCTGAGAATAAAGTTTCAAACTGGAGGCAAGATAGATAATTCTTTGTACATAAAACAACACAATATAATATGTCATTTGATAAGATTAAAACTTTGGCTTTCTATTGGCTATAAATAACATAATATACAATATCAGAGAAAAAACTATTGGCAATTTATGAAAGACAGTTGGTCGTGACAAGTGGGTCTGATTTTCTAGCGTGTGGCTCCTTAGATAAATAAGATAGAAATTATACTTTGCTTGATTAATATATACAATATAATGAATAACTTACATCAAATTCCATACTTTTCGGATGGATGGTAACTAAATTACAGAAAAGGGAAGACCTAAAGAACAAATCTCACAATTCTCATACTAGGAGATTGAGGATTTTTAAAAATATTTCCTTATAAAATAAAGAGCTTAAAATCTACATAATATTAAAATTTGATTTATTAACTATGTTTTGATGCTAATTTTATTCATATACAATGATAATAAAGTAATCTAATTAAATTTTGAATGTAACTCTAAAAAAAGTCATGACATGTACACTTGGACCTGTCAATGGCAAGTGTTAAAGTATTCTTCTGTAAGACAATTACCATTAATTGTTATATGTGTAACTGTAATGAAACCAATTTTATAGAAATAATACTAGTATTCTGGGAAAACCTTAACCACAAATTTAATCCCAATTTTAAAGGACCTAATTGTGACTGCTGTGTTCAAATGAATGTTACACACAAAACTATTAATCTAAATAAAATTCAAAAATAAAATAAAAGGATTAAGCAGAATGCTAGCGGCTGCAACTTCAAATATATACAAAAAAGTAAAATAACTATTTTTCACTGATCAAACCACTTTACAACTTATAACAAATCAAAAACTTCCCTAAGTGAGAACCACTGTTTAAAAAATGTTGAATATATGGTGGGCTTTACAGATAAATAGTCTATGTTAAATTACTATACCTCATCTTATACCATTTCAAAAGTAATAAAAATATGATACATGTTATTGAGTATTTTAAGAGTTCTCAGAAAATGGGTGTTTGTAAATCTTTCCCATAAGATGCGTTATTGGTGCATGATATGATTATTGTTATGTACGATATCAATGTGGTTACACAAAAACATAACCAAAATTCATGAAATATTTTCATGTGGGGTGGAGCAGAATTGTTGTGAATTTTCCAATTCTTGCTCCTATTGAAGTATCTCCTACAAACCTTGCTGTAATGGACACACAATACCCTAAAACGGAAAATCAATATGCTATCAGGTTTCTTGATATGCGACTTACACAGTAAAGTGTGAAAGTTTGAATGAAATTCAATTACTTAAATTGTGAGTAAAAATTTTGACTTCTTTTGAAGTTAAAGTGAGATTAACAGTTTTCTTACATTTTAGGAGAATAATTTGTCTTGTCATAGGTTGTTCTAAAGCAACTGAACGTGTCTGTGTCTGTGACAAAACGCAGACGATTATTTGGAAGTAGACCTATATGTGAAAAGCAGACATTTATCAGAAATAAGCCTAAATACGAAAAAGCAGATGAGTATCAGACGTTCAGGATACAACTGCAGTAACGCAAGTGAATTATACACCGATACTGTTGTGATAAAAGAAGAAAAATAGAGAGAAGTAAAGGAATAAGTGAATAATACATTGATAGGGTTTAAGATAAAAAAAAAGAGAAAGATAGTTTGGTTATCAACTGAATTGGCCAAAGTGGACTCTTGAAAAGAACTGTATAGTATTTAAGATACAACTATGATATACATAGTGTAAAGAATTTTTGTACATACATTTAACTTGTTTCGAATATATTATTTTAAAACAAGCAGACTGCATGCTGTTCATTTATCATCGAATTTATTGCCAACAAGTCACTGACATCTACTGTAGAAGAATCCTTAGCCCAACACACCCATAATTTACTATATATAATATAAAAAAGTAAGTTTTTGACAGTGTGTAACAAATTAGACTCTCAAACTTCAGACACTGAAAAGCTATAATATAAAACAAGTCTCCTGCCTTTTTTATTTGCTAAGATAGCAGCATATTTAGCAAACTCACCAGAGTAGCTTTATTATTTTAAAGCCACTTATTTACTCATACCTACTTCTCTTAAGTACACGCTTATAACCAACAGAAAGTATACATTTGGAAATATGTGAATCTGACAGTCGCCTCTAAATTTTGTGGTGCAGAAAGAGAAAGTTCCCTATGAAAAGTTGAAGCATACTGACTAAGTCATTGCTTCAGACAGAAAGTAGTTTTGTTATGAAGTATTCTGGCGAGTGATAAATTTTTGGTTTTCTTTTAATGCACATGTGAAATTACAAAAATTCATTTGTCTTCACCTCTGTTTGAGAAAACTACACAAGTGCAGAAAATTTCATAATATCGCAGGTATTAGAAAACAATGTCTTTATGCATATTTCTTATTTATTGTTCTATGTTTTAACAGTAACAAGTTAAATTTAAGCATTTATGAGTAAATTGTAGTATATATCTCTTCTTAATAGTGCAACAATATCCAGTCATGTGACCTCTTTGTTCCATACTGTATATATATATATATCTGTGTCAGCGTAAACTACTTGTACCTGATGATGACAAAACATTGTACATTTGCTGTCATGTTAAACTTATATTAAAATTTTTTCTTCATTACCCATTCAATCCATTCCTTGTCATCGAAATTATTGGTATGTTACTTAGAAATTTGCACTTTGTAGGCCAGTTTTACTAGTTTGTTTGTTTTTGAATTTTCGCACAAAGCTACACGAGGGCTATCTGTGCTAGCCGTCCCTAATTTAGCAGTGTAAGACTAGAGGGAAGGCAGCTAGTCATCACCACCCACTGCCAACTCTTGGGCTACTCTTTTACCAACAAATAGTTGGATTGACCATCACATTATAATGCCCTCATGGTTGAAAGGGCGAGCATGTTTGGTGAGATGGGGATTCAAACCCGCGACCCTCAGATTGCGAGTCGAGCACCCTAGCCACCTGGCCATGCCGGGCAGTTTTACTAGAGTATAATCATAAATGTATACTGAACTTATAATATTATTCTAAACATCTACACTGAGGTAAAATAAAAGCAAATTATTCAACCTAAAAGAAATGTTTACTGATAACATTCCAGAATTGTGAAATGTCTCACAAAGTCAAGGAAACAAAATTGTGTGCAAAGACTCAAAGGTAAGTATTTATTAATTGATGTATAAGAAGGGTCAAATACAAAATACGTTATAAATAGGTAAACAAATAACCTTGTACATAGTCATATCATATACACTTTCAAAATTCAAACTGTATTTCTATAACTGGAGAAATCTTGTTAAAAGCACTATAGTGCAAACAAGCCAATAAATTCTCCACTGTGTTCCAGACAAATGTCGTTACCATAATCACTGTAAGAGAAATATTTGCTTTGTGCCATGCTTGTTCCAGCCTCAGAGGAATACATCACGTCATGCCAGATTATAACTTTACACATGCTTGTTACAGTCACCTGTAAACAGTCTACAGCAGTGACTGTTTTATGGTCAGCAACCTCTTGCTTCAGTTGCTGGCAGTAAAATAAACAAATGAAATAGAAGTAAAGACGACAGTCTTAAAAACTCTCAAGCACTTTGAAATACCATGGTCAATACAGCAAAGAACAGAATGGTACTACATATTTTATTTCACATTTTTCATGATTTATAATGTTCACTAAAAGCTTACCAAATTGCACGAAGATATATTAAATACTTTTAGAGTTATAGTATGTAGTTCTTCATGGATTTGTGGTGTTTATAAGGTCATGTAAAATACATGAGCCCATGTCCATAGGGTTAGAATGGTCTCCTTCACCTGCAGCATAATTTCATTTTTGACTTAATCAATTACTGATATGTTCAAAGCCAATAATCAGACTATGCTACGAGTAAAGAAGACTCTTCTAAAACTGCTGAAATTAAAATATCAGCAAATCATTACTGAACTTTTATTCACAATTTAGATAATTTAAATTTATTAGCAATCTACTATTATTTTCATAAACCTATGAAGTTATTGTTATTTATGATGGACAAACTCATTGTAACAATGTTACATCAGCATGCCCTGGGAAAAAAAAGAGTTTTATATTTCTGCATATTTGTATAAATATCATATAAAGCAAACAATACTCTCTTTTTCAAACCTAATTTAAACTCATACAAAAAAAGCTACTGTTTGTACATATCTTCTGTGTTATTAACATGCATATACATCACATCCACTTACCTCTGAATAAAAACGTAGATCAACTCTTATCTTACTGGGATTGGTTATCTAAAAATGTACGAAATGTTTAGTTAAAAGTAAAATATTTTTTAAGCAAAAATGTTTTCTGTATCACACAATGCAATAACTGAAAAAATCTAATTCATTATCATAGTTTTACCTGATATATATATATATATATATACCTTATCTGAAATATAAGAAGTTATATAAAATACATGCTAATTTTCCTTCTTATGAATTGAAGTTTCAAAAAACTAAAATGTTCATGCACTTTTAAAGAAAATACACAATATTATAATGAAATATTTTAAAGTCTGAATTAAGAATACATGGGAATTAAATATAAAAAATAAAATAAAAGTTTGGCTGATATTGCAATCTTTCTAATAGCGGAAGTTACAACAATAATAAAATAATATTGAATATGATTAAATATAACCAATTAGGATATTACAAAATAAAACACTATTTGTAAAACTTATAGTTTTTAAACATGTTTTTGAAGTGTTTAACCCTACAATTACCAATGGGTTCATATCACTTAAACACATTGATTGGGTCTATGAATATGTTGGCTACAATTAATCTCACTAATGACCTGGGATCCCCTAAGTAGTTTACACAGATAATGACAGATTTCACCACATTTTTTCAGTCAGTTCTTTACAACTGGTGCTGTAGCATGCAAAATTTATAATTACCCTACACTAAAAAAGTATTTCCGAAAGATACCTCTTCTCACGTAAATAGCTATTCTCGTTCAGTGCTGCCCTCTATAGGCAACCATTTTTTACACATGCCACAACCCTCCAACAATGAGAGTGCAACATACCCTCGTTACGCACATGACTCCCTCTATTCAATTCTACCGAATTATCGCTTCGAGTGTTGGCAGAAGATGGAAGCACCAGTTTCCAGTGGGAAGGAAGGGTGGGATGTGTGAGAGAAATTAAGTACCTATCGGAAATACATTTTCAGTATAGAAAATTATAACTTTCAATACGGTACATTACCTCCCCTCACATATATAACTAGAATCCCACATTTAATAGGTGGAGGGAATAGTGCAAAGGAAAGAAAGAAGCATCATTCTAAAGCATTCTAAGGACACTCTTTAAGATGAAACAGTCAGATTATAAGATCTGATGTGGGGGACCGCACCACTTCTGAACCAGGTATAATCCTTGCCCATATGGGCAGAAAAAACAGAGGAGCACATCCAAGTGGGAGAGAACTAAGGTCGAATAGTGATTTGAACCATACAATATTTATGAAAATCTATCCCAGAAAATATAAATATGGGTAAAATGAAAAGGTTGTTTCCTTGGTGTAGTGTAGCTAGGGTGCAATGAACTGTACACAGCAAATCAAATCAAACCTATGCAGCTGGGAACCGACATTCACGGGAGGGTAGGATGAGGATCATACCTTCAGTAAGTCAACTGCAATCCAAAACCTGGCTACTGGGTACTAACATCAATGTGGGGGGTAGGAAAGAGGTTCATACCACCGGCAAGTCGACTACAACCCAAAACCCAGCCATCTAGTGAGGCTAGGAAAGAGGATCATACCATCTTCACCATAAGTTCGTAAGACCAAAGGGAATCAAGAACACCTGACTCATGAACAGGGCACATGTTAATATAAGAAACTGATAGATCGATCCAGGAACCTGACATCCGGTATCGAAAATATGTCTACATAATGTAAACCATCTCCCTCAAAAGTGAAACTGACTGGAACTATCCCAAGCACAGTAACAACCTTGGAATAATAAGCATCGAAAGATAGCAGATGGGGAAGAACCATAATAATCTGCAAGTACCTCCAGTGTGACCCACAACAATAATGGAGTATAAATGAGGGAGGAATATAGACATCTGTAATACATGTGTGAAGACTAATGTTGATTGGTTCAACTCTAAATCCAAAACTCAGCCACTGGGAACCAACAACCACATAGGGGTTGGATGAGGAATCCCTATCAAAGGGGTGAACTGCAATTTTGATGTCTCACTCCCATCTACATTAGCAGAACACCACCACCCCACTCTCAACTGAATGGTTTTATAATAATTTCTAAATTTTTTTTTGTATTTCATTAACCCATTCAGGAGGATGCCTCCATGGTCAATCACCACAGCAACTTGGAATTGGAAAGTAGTAAGGACTCTTAAACTCCACTGGAAAGAAGGGGTGAAGGACGTGGTGGAGAAAGTCCAGAGGAACAACAACACCTGAGACAGTGCAATGGGTAATCACAAAACCCTATTTTTAAAATCAGACCATACCGATTTATTCAATACAAGGCATGGCAGGGATGAGGAGCTATCCCCTTCTGAGTATGGTCCAGGACAGGCAAATTTAATAAGCAATTCAATTGTGAGGACAAACCTACAAGCAATCTTGTGGAAAACCCCAGCTCTGCGGTGTGCATTGAGTGGCCATGGAAATATAATATGTGAGTCGACAGTGCAGATTTGATCAGTTAAGGAATACCTGCTCAGGCACCACTTGCCACAGAGCGGGGTTGAAACAATGAGTAATAAAAAGGGAAAAAGGCCCCTCAAAAGAAATAAAGAATAATAAAAAATGCCTACAGGAAGAAGACAATAGCCTGAAAGGAAGAAACTATGATCCTATGCAAACAGTGAGAGATGAACATATTAGGTGTAGTGCACATGTCCAATTGAAGAATTCCCTCCAAGGGATGATGAAGATGAGACACCAATGAAAAAATAAGGTGTCAAATTTAATGAGAAGACACCTGGAACAAAGAGCGGGAGGAAGACTATAAAGAGGAATAAGCCTATCGAATTAAAAGCTGAACTCAACTGGTGAGGATAGAAGCAGAAAGATCACAAACAGAGGATGGCTGCCAAGGAATAAAGAAGCAGGAACGAGCACCACAGAAGGAAGCTGTACGGGCAATATAACAGTGAAGAGCATGTACAGGACATAGAAGTCTACCCATATCAGGCCGAAGATAAAGGCAAGAAATGGATGTAAGGGAAATCTGTGAAAATTAGGAATTACCCTAACAAGCTGCTGAAGTTTTGGGGAGGATAGAACAATCTGAATAAAGGAGAATATATGTACGACGATAAAGAGTTTGTGAAACCTTGATGGCAAATAAATCAGACCTTTGAAAGTCCACAGGCTAAGAAAACAAGGAAATAAGTCTTAAGGGAAAGGTGAAACAAGAAGCACGTGAAAATGATTCGAACAGAGGCAAAGCGAGGCAGTAAAGGACCAGATTAACATCCTAATCCGGAAGGGCAGCCTGACACAGCGGACTATGAATCCGGAAAGAGCACATCCACAGGGAAAGAGTAGGAGCGGTAAACACTCTATGGTATCTGGAAAATAAAAGATGTGAGATAAGGCTACCCGATAACCCAAGATCGAGGAGATAGAAGACCCCCGATCAAAAAGCCAAGAGAAGAATAGTAGATTGAACAGGGGAAAACCATCCACCCAGAGACCAATGGTGGAACACGTTCCATTTAGATAAACTTCCATGGAGGAAGGGCAAATGGAAGGAGCCAGAAAAGAAGCTACCCATTAGGACAAGCCAGATCACCTCACTAAGGACCAAATAAAAACCAGGCATGAAGACAGAGGACAAGAAAGGTTGTATAAAGCGCCATTGACAAAGGTTGAGGAAGAAGGAATGGAGTCTTGTACTGCCTTTGACAGATGCTGGCTGGTGGTAGAATCCTGAGGCATGAGGAAGGAAATGGGTACTTGAAACAAAGGAGGGGGAGGGAAGAAATTATAGGACAAATCCCTCTAATAAAACGTGATGAACCCACAGTTCTGGGGTAAAAGCTCACCAAAGGGAAACAAATTTGTACAATCGAATTCCCACCAGACCAGAACCAACTGAGTAATCACCAGTACTGTTGGTGACGTGCCAATCTAGATTGAATAATACGATGAGATGAGAAACCTCTGGAAGGAGGAACAGGTAGATGCTGAGAAGGACTAGGACAGGAAACAGGGATTTGTCTTGGCTCCAACAAACGTACTACCAAAGAGGAAAGGGTAGAGTGTTGATGCACAGACTCCACATGTGATTTCAAAGTCTCAGGTACATGATCAAAACATAAAGCCAAAGAAATGGGGCCAAATATAAATCCCTAAGATAAGAGAGCAACAAACAAATCTGGAACAAGGCCGCATTATGACCCAAATGATCCCAACAACAGAGAACCCACGTGTGTAAAGCAAGAGCCGAAGACGACAATCTAGCCAATGTGTAGGTAATAAGGGAGAGGCTTTCCCTTGATAAATCCTCAGGGTCTTGGTGGATTGCCTCGGAAATGAGGTGGATAATAGATAAGTGCTGTAGAAGGGAGGTAAGAGTAAGACGAAGGTGTGAAATTGGGCATGGATTAAATGCACAGGAAAATCAGGGACCCCCCTACACACACACAGGTAAAATCGACCCCAACTGTTGAGAGTCAAGAAACGGACAGTCAGCCTGATTGTGAGCTAATGAAAACTGATCTGTAGCCAATGGAGGGTGAGACATGCTGGCACTCTCAACCAATTGGGAAGCAAATTTCTCAGCTTGAACCCTAATATCTGGGGAGGTTGGGAAAACTAAATATGGAGAAGAAGAACTATGATGCATAAAAGAAGGAGAGGGATAATACAAAATCGGGGAAATGTATAAAACATCACATGCCTGAGAAATCATGTCAAAAATGCAGTATTAGGCATAGCTGATTCCACAGGTGGGGCATTGGAACACACGGCAAAAATCCAGTGGTAATAAAAAGCTATCAAAATCTTCATTGGCCCAAACAGGTTCAGCTTGCTCAGGAGGAAGTGGGGCAAGTTCAGGATCAATTTCACAGAGGATAATCACAGATAAATTAAATGATGGGTCTTCCCTACCTGCAACCTGTGAAATAGTGTTAGTAGGAGGTATGATACTCAAAGTGGTATCGTCAACTTCAGAATTCATTATAAAACTATATATCAAACAAAAGTGTTTGATGTAAAAAAAATGCAAGTGTGAGAAAAAAATAAATAAAGACTGGAAAATGAAGTCAAAGCAAAATACTTCTTCAATGTAAAGAAAAAATTCCACTTCAGAAATTAAATAATTAAAGTCACGAATGCAAATCACAAGAAGAGCACCAAAAGAAAAACCATCTGAAAAAATAGTATTGAGAGTTTGGTAGAATTGAATAAAGGGAGTCGTATGCATCACAAGAGTATTGGTGGAGGGTTGTTGCATGATGATTTGCATAAGAGATGCACTGGAATCAGTCAATTGCAACTGAGGGAGATAAAAAGCTTGTGGCATGTGAAAAATATTTTTTGGCATATAGAAGGCATCACTGAACAAGTATAGCTATTTATGTGAGTGGAAGTAATGTACTGTATCGGAAATTTAAAATTACTCAATATGATGCAATATCATTTCACTGGCAGTGAATATTACAACAAGTTGTTCATTTTAGGTCACCTGCACCAAAAACAACTGGATGAATAATGAAAGAGACTATGGATTATTCAGATGTTGTCTACTTATTTCAATAATAACATAGCTTACAAAATCTACTTAATTTTCAAACAATATAAAAACTTATATAGGATCTTTTTAAACTCTGTTTTCATCTACAACGTCAGTGAAAGGCAGAAAAGCAGAAAAAAATTGCAAGTTTTCAAAACTCAGATTTGGTTCTTAAATAGGTTGTGTCAAATGGCACCATTCTGTATTAAGCAATAAGAATTACTATTATAGTGATCACTAAATAATTTTAAAAAAGTTTTTGAGGTCTTATTGCTTAAAGGATTAAAGCACAATTTCAGAATCCCAGCTTTTAATTCAGGTAAGATTCAATTTTGCACTTCCTTTAAAATTCAATTGTTATTATTTTGCGTAACATCAAAACAATGAATACAAAATAAACATCTGAGATCATCCTAACATAATCCATTTCAATAAAATATTTTGGATTTTTATTGCAAGTAATTTTTTTAATGAAATTAATCAAATTGTTTCTTGAAGATTCTGCTGTTTTTATCCAAAATTATTTTTCTCTCTTATAGGTTAATCAGATGTCCCACTTCCAACAATAAAAACCAGGGATAAAAGGCTCATTGTAGCCTTACAACAAAATGTAGTTACAAAATATATTATTATACATTCAAACTTACTTTCTCATCCTTTTTCATGGGTAGAACTTTTTGCCAATTTTCTAAAAGTTGAGTGGAAAATTCGGAATAACGTTGGTGAAGCAGGGAGCAAATTTTTACTGCTGTGTTCAGGTCAGACATCTAAGTTTTAAAAAAGATAACAGGAAAGTGGTAAAAAGCTCCATTATTGAATTTTTGGGGGAAATAGTTAACTGTTTCAAAAAACAGTCTGATAATTGCCTTTCATAGAATATAGAATGTTTTGAAGGTAACTGACAAACCATTTTTATACATGATAAAATTTATTAATAATTAGTATATATTGTTTTAACTATTAAAATAGGTCATATAATATCATGAAATATAAAAATAATTGGAAATGCATTCTTATTTTGTTTCTAAGATTTTCACCAACCTTCAATCAACCTTACTTCAGAGACTTAAAAAATCACAATTACATTGTATTTAACTCTTAACTGATTCTACAATTACAGCAGTTTCACATACTTCATTATTCAGATAAAAAAATACAAAGTACTTGTACACGTGCTAAGTTACGTTTTCAATATGTACAACCAACCTTGAGTTTTGCTTCTACAATGGCAGCTGCCTATAAAAACAAGAAAGATGAAATTTAGACAGGACACCAAGTAAAATATTAGAACTTTACAGATGTAATCATTATAGTTGAAGCATCAAAAGCATTCATAAGACTCAATAAAATGCTACATATACAAAAATCTTAAATTTGGAATTATATATTGTTTAAAATAATGTATAAGAACTTAAAAAAACTTTGAAGCACAAAAACAATTAGAGTTAAGTATGCTTAAAAGAAATGCAAAACATCACAGAATTTTGTGTTAAATTCATAAATAAAGAAGCAAAAAAATCATATGTCCCACTATTAAATTATTTCACTTTTCCAATTAACAAATAAATGTTAACTCCTATGTTTTCCTGAATTGTAATTATACCTCCATGAATATTAAACCTTATATTATAAGTGGAATACTTAGTTCAGTTGTTATTACATAAAATTTATCATAACTAAACAAATATAATGACTATAATATAGTAATATTTCATTGTTTTTATATTCATGAAAACCACTTAAAATTAGCTGTGTAGTCTGAAAACCAATTAATATGCCATCATAATAATGGATGATAAATTATATTCCACTCTGAACCTAAATATTTGCAAGCCACTCTATTATGATTAGAATTTCATGAAATTTACAGTGTTTCTAAATGAATGAAAGAATTACAAATTTATTATATAAAAACAGATTATGTAGAAAAAGAAAACTTCTTGGAACTAGTTTGTTATCAAACCCTAATTAATCTGGAATAACTATACAACAGTAACTAACTTAATAAATTTTACAAACTTTAAATATGTCTTTTTAACTTCACAAGAACCGTAAGAAAAAAACTATCATTTTTCAATTGTCTTTAGTTTCTTACATTCACATTATTTCAACATAAGAATAAAGATTATAATTCATCATACAGAATTTTAGTCATCCTGGTGAACTGTTAGCATCATTACTTTATAACATTCTGCCACATGGAGTGAAAATACTTACATTAACCATTTATAAACATATTCAGGATTTAATGGAAATGAAGCATCAATTAATGCAAGTAAAAAAACAAAAGATTCGCTCATTGAACAGCTTTTCTTTTTGAAGATACAAGTCAACTTTTTACCAAGATCACATGGCAGTAATGTCCATTCAGAAGGAAATTCATATATATATATATATATGTATGTATGTATGTATAGAACAACAACAATCTCACAAATAAAAGAACACTCCACCAGCAGGTTAAACAAACACATATCAAAGAATTAACTTTGGAGTGATAATAAACAGGGTGAATATTTAGTAAAAAAATACACGTGCCTTGTAAACCTGAGGTTGTACACTGTAATTGTCATCATTCTTAACAGTGAAGCTGTTTGATTAACTTTGGACAGAATAATTTTAAAAAAAAATACTTTATAAATTGTATGCTGTCTAATCTTTAGCTTCGTATTTCTTCATATAAAAACAGTTATGGCAAAATTTATATTAATATTTGCTTTGTTGGATTCAGTTTATTCACATAAAGCAAGAGTTATTGATACATGTCTACTATTAAATCCTTACTTACAGCTTCACTGATGTACTTAGTTAGATTCAGTCCATTCATGTCTTTAATAAGCGAGTCCCTTTGAGCTTCAGTAAGGTTTTTCTGCATAAATGAAAAATGCACCACACAAATCAGATTTACCTGGTCCATATGAATACTTACATATTCAATCTACAGTAGGTTCTCATAACAAGTTAATTAAATTTAGGACAAAAAAAAAGATTTTTCCACCTTAAAATGGGCATTAAACTTTTAATGGTTTATTATTAGGTTTATTACTGTGGAAAATCTTTAACACCTAAAATTAGACAACAGACTGTCCAAAAGCTTGTTATTTTTGTGGACCATATAACTAGTTTCCTTTCAAGTTCTCTTAAAAACATACTTGCAAAACAAAATGAATGTCTTAGTTCAATTCTGCAAGAGCACCATATATTGGTTTTAGTATTAGACTAAAAAGGCAGTGAAAATAAAATGTTAGTGATTCTGAATCATGACGAGACATAGTATAAAGCTAACATTTTGTTGTTATACAGATTACCAGCTTTCCTTCCACAAATAATTTCAAACTCAAAATGAAGTTATTCATAAGTTTTCAAATGCTGTATAATGTTAAAAATAACAGAGACAGAGAGTATAATACAAACATCTAATAACAATGTAACTATTTACAGCAATGTAACATTGTTTACAACCACAAATAGCAACATAAAACTTACAAGCCAGAAAAATATTAAATATAACCACATGAAATTATAAAGATATCGCACATTAATTTATTTCATGCTCTTTGTTTGAAATAAAATCATACAATACACCTAATATGATAGTAACAGCCATGTATCACATTTTGTGTTTTTACATTACATTAACCTATCGAAGACTGGGATGAATAAGATCTTTAAGTTATTGTACTGATTTAGTTCACATAATTTACATATACACCTGGAAAAAAGTTAAGCACCCCCAAATATTTTTCAGGATTGCTTATTGAAAATAAGGTTTAATTTTCA